TACTATGACAAAATAATCTCAACTACACAAGCAGAGTTTTTTTTTAGGAAAAATTGAATTGACAGTGGGTCTAGTCAAAGATACTGTACATTTGTAATGTATCTGTATGTATACTTACAATAGTAGATCATAAATACAGCTGGATACAACCTCGCCACTCAGCCTCGCTGCCAGCTTTTCTCCCATAACCCACCATATAAAACCCTTAACAGGATATCTCCAAGAGCAAACACGGCCTGCTTTTACTTTCTGTTATGACTTTTTAATCCATCAAAACGTTATATTAGTAAAACTCTGACAGAGTGACGTCACCTCAATGTAAAGTCTGGGCCGAGCAGAAACGGCGGGCGGGCCCGGCGGGGGACACATTAATGTGCATGTGCAGTCGGCCTCAAAACATGAAAGCAAACCCAGAAGCTAGAATTCCTTTTGGCTTATATGCCAAGGGAATGAGCTGGCACCAGCTCTGAGACCAGTGTCTAGTTCCTACCCCAGATCCACTAAAGTCAGTTCCAGATAAAACTGGTGGAGCCAGAACACTTCCACTTATTTGAACTGTACCTTTACCTGGAACAGTAGTGTGGCTGTGACTGATGACGGGCAAAGTCCGCAAGAGCTGCTGGATGTGTGTGCATTTCCATCTCAATAGCAAACTGTGTGTGAATGAACTTGCAGAGAGATAAGACTTTATTTGCAGTCTGTGTGCTGCCAGTGATCTTTGTCTACTGAACTGATGCCCCGGACTTGACGCTATCTTCCAGTCCCACGTACACAATGTGCACATGTAAACGCAGCAAGTTTGGTTTATATAAGCAGACACACCGTACACATAACCTCAGCACATGACCTGTGTGTGCATGTGTGTCTGTGTAAACTGTATGTGACCACAAGTCTGGATTCTGTTCAGTATTATTTGTGTTTAACCCTAACCCTCTAAATTTGTAAAACTTTACAAAAGCGTGGAAAAGTTAGTTTTGACATCATGCCAATGTGAAGTTTGTGTGTCGAGCAGGCAGAGCCAGCGGGACATGGTTTTACATGGTTTTCATGGGACATAGCACGTTGTGAATTTGTAAATGCATTAATTTGAAAGTGATGTGCATTTCAAGTGGGAATAAGTCACATCTGTACTTTATTCTTACTTTGACCTCAAGATGTTTTTTGTTAGTTAGGCTTATGTTGTGTTTTTTAAACTCTTCTACACTGATTTATTCTCCAATAACTACAGTACTGTATTTATTGAATCCAGTCCTAAGGCCAGGCCTTGGCTGAGGTCAGTGGCAGAAGCACAGCCTTCCTAATCTTAACCACAAAGAGGCAGCAGACTATGACATTTCCTAGCAATACACATGAGTCACTTGCATTTGTGTCAGCAAATTTGACACTTTTCTAACTGACTCTAAAAGTATTCAAGAAGTTACTGCATGCTTTTTGCATTAATATGTGTAAAAACACACAGTGCAAATTTCTGACATTTTATTTAAAGTGCTGTTTCGTGTACTATTTGTATGGGAGAGGCCAACTATAAAAAGATTGTAAAGGTTTCTACACATTTCTGCCACACAGCACGGTGATGTTAAACTTCCAGGTCTTTACACTAGAGTTCAATTTGATATTCTGTGTAAGGTACAAAAACGGACTGGTAACTACTTTGTCAGCTTGTGTTCACATGGCCGGATCTTGTCAACCGGGTTAGTAAGACAGAGGTGAGGGGGCAAGCATTTTTAGACGGTATGAGGATGTCATGGTGCCTAACAAAAGGAAAACCATGTCTTCAAAAACGTAACTTTATTCAGGAGGTCACAGAATGTGCATTCCTATGAGACATAAACGATTTGAAGAGCTTTCTGCAGGCTACTGTTTTACCACAGAACCAATAATGTTCTCATACTGACTTTTTGTGCAAATTATGCAATTAGCATTTCTAGGGCAATTAAGGTCAACCTGGAAGAGACGAGGATGTTGTTTTCCAAGCCAAGATTGAGACACTGGATTTAAAGGCTAACAACGAAAGTATGTTTATACACTTGCTGAAATGTAGGAATGAGAGACAAAGGGGGAAAGGAAAAGCACAGTAAATTTAATCAAGGAGCACAGAGACTCACGGATGGATGTAATGGAAAATTCCTCGGCTGATTCCTGTAAGGTTGTTCATCACTGACAGGCCCCCAGGAGACCATCAGACTGACAGGAATCTCAAAACTCGGAACATCTGTAATGCACAATGCTGCCAAGCATGACTCAGCCGATTGAGCCTGACTGCCTGAGCTGCTGCAGAGTCAAATTGCAGCTATAGAGAATAAGAGCTAAGACAGAATTATATGAGCTTTTCCATTCTTGTTGCATGGCTGTTATGCCAGATAAAAGACATTGGACTTTTACAAGCAGTCTAAATAGATGAAGGGACCAATGTGAAAGGTTTTATTAGCAAATATGAAGTGAATATAAACCATATTTGAGAGAAATGATCTATTTTTCATACCTTTCCAGTTCCCTCTTGTATAACCATGCCGGTAAATAGAGCGGATGACCTTCACAGCATGTTCATCATATTGTCTTTAGAAAGTTATGTCAAACTGTCTGTCTAAATGAACTCTTCTTACCTTTGCTATTGATCTGTTGCTCCTGTGAAGCATAAAAACTAAAGACTGATGTGAATTGAAAAATGATTTTACACAGACATGAACAGTTAAAAACTAGAATTACTGCTTCACAGTTGTGTGCCTCTGGCAACCAGTCCAATTCACAGAGATGGTACAGATGTGAGGTCACATTGACCTTGACCTCCATCCATCCATCCATTTTCTTCCGCTTATCCGGGACCGGGTCGCGGGGGCAGCAGTGTAAGCAAAGACGCCTAGACTTCCCTCTCTCCAGACACTTCCTCCAGCTCCTCTGGGGGAATGCCG